AGGTTTTCGTTACTACGACACACACACACACACACACACACACACACACACACACACACACACACACACACACACACACCCACCCCTCCCTCTCTCTCTACCTACCTGAGGTGGCACCAAACATGGTGCGTGGCTAGCTAGTTCTTACTCACATGCTCAGGGTCTAACTGATCATCATATGTTGGGTCAGGAAGGAATTGTCCCCCTGGTTAGATTGACAGTGACTTTGAGGGAGGAGGTTGTCTTCCTTCCTCTTCAGCGTGTGGGTGGGGATCGCTGCCAGGATTATCTGGGTATATGTCAATCATTTCCCGGCCATTGCAGGGCTACACCTCAGTCCCTCCTATTTCCTGCCTGTGGCACTTCATAGCCTAATCTCTTGTGAGACGCAATATTTGGTTTAATTTTGGTGGGTGGGTTTAGTGTGTTGATGCTGGGTGATGATGGTGGCCTGTGATATACAGGCGGCCAGACTACATGATCAGGTGGTCCACTCTGGCCTCAAACTCTATGACATACCCTAAATAGCCGTTAAATCCTATCCATGCCTAGGGCTCCTCTCACACCCTTACGCACCCTTTTCCATTGTTCTCTGAGCACATCAACCTATTTCAGTGGTGTCTGCTTCCATGAACAGCTGCTCTATGGATCAGTTCTATAAAGGCTTGTTCCAAAGCTCCTTGAAGTCAGTGGAGCGACTTCCCTTGATTTCAAGGTGTTTTGAATATACCCCAACATCCCAAGCCTTGCTGGGTGCTTGATAGGGACAGATGCCAGTGTTAAATTAATAAACTTGAGAAACATAAAAAAACAAACCCTTAAAATTCATTAGCACATTTTAGTGCTTCATGAATAGTATGTGCTAGTTTTTATTAGCTGGGTCATAACTCTGCAGTGAACACATTAACTCAGGTTCTTACTCTGGTGTTGCTCCTATCTCCTCCATCCCATCCACATACACAACCCTTTCACACCAGTTTGGTGAGACTTTGAACCTGGGCCATAGGGCCCATCTGGGTATAGGCTTGAGCTTGGGTTCTGCTTCCACTTGGGCTGGTAGCCTGCCCACTTTGCAGTGAGGACGCAGACTAAATCACTCAGATGCTGATAATTTGCCAAGGCCTTCCCATACTTGCCCCGGAAGGACAGACAAGTTCTTCTTCGAGTGCTTGTTCATGTCCATTCCAATCAGGTGTGTGCACGGTAGCTGGAAGATTTTTCCCTTAGCAGCATCCATCAGGTTGACCTGGGCGCCCCCTCTAATCGCGCCTTTATGGCGCTCAATATAGAGCCCTGCCGACTCGCCACCCCCTCAGTTCCTTCTTACCGTCAGAGATGGCTAGCTGGAACTTCCCATAGTCCCCTAGGACAGAGGCGGCTCCGGTTTCAGGTCCAGCTTCGGCGCCGACATCAGCTTCGGTGCCAGCATCAGCTTCGGTGCTGCCGCTATTACCGGCGCCGGCTTCAACAGTGGCTCCTGCGCCACCAACAGCGGCTCCAGTAAGTGACTACATTCGGTGCCGACAGCCCCAGCACTAAGCATGACATCATCCATGGCGGCCAGTATGGGACAGCTTAGACATGATCGTAACCCTGCCTCGCCCAGTACTCAACTCCCTCCTGTGGTGGCTTGACCCACAGGGAGTATATGCACGAGTCCCCTTCACTCAAAGAAGAAAAAAATGGTTACTCACCTTCTTGTAACTGTTGTTCTTCGAGATGTGTTCATGTCCATTCCAATATCCACCCATCTACCCCGCTGTCAGAGTAGCCAGCAAGAAGGAACTGAGGGGGTGGCGGGTCGGCAGGCTTTATATTGAGTGCCATGGAGGTGCGACTTCAGGGAACGCCCAGGCCGACCCGACGGATGCTGCTAGGGGGAAATCTTCCAGCTACTGTGCACATGCACACACACCTGATTGGAATGGACATGAACAACACATCTTGAAGAACAACAGTTACGAGAAGGTGAGTAACTGTTTTTTCTCCCACAATTCACCGGGAAAGAATCAGAGAGTGGCTTAGCTTGCAATGTAGCTACACACCTGGGCGAGGCTAACCCGGGTGCTAATCACCCAAGTTAACTCTGCAATGAAGACATACCTTAAAGGGCTGGTGCTCAGGCATCACTTAGGAGCTTTCAACCATTCCACTCTCTGTGTTGCAAAGTGCTGATAAAGGAAATGGTGATGAAAAGCACCGAGCACCCTTAGCCCCCGCTGAAGTCACTGGGAGTTGAGGACACACAGCCCCTCCCAGGAAGCACTTTTCACATTTGCAAGGATTTACCTTTCATGCTAGACCACTCGCACCTGAATGCATCCAACAGCCTTTCTGGGATTAATGTCTTTGCTTGCGAGGTCTGAACCAGCTGGGGGTCTAAGCAGCCACATGACATTCCTTTAGCTGATTGAAAATAGGTTAAAGCAGGGCTGACCACACCTGCCCTCTCACAGCAACTGCCCAATAAGAACCAAGCTGAGCAACTGCAGCTGGTCTCACTCGTGACTTCAAGCAACAGGAGGCTGGACTGGCCGGCCATGGGTCTGAACAGCCATTGCAGATACAAGGGCAAAAACCTGTCGCTGGTTATAGGCAAAGTAGGCAGCTGCCTTGGGTGGCAGATTTCTGAGGGCTGGTCTACACTACCGCTAACGTCAATCTAACTTATGTCACTCAGGGGTGTGAAAAAGATCCCCTCCCCCCCACCCCCCCCGGCGCGATCTAAGTTACAGCGACCGAAGCGCTGTCCACCCCGGCGCAATGCTGGCGGGAGACGCTCTCCTGCTGACATAGCTTCCGTCTCTCGCAGCGAGGGAGTAATTATGCCGACGGGAGAGCGCTCGCTCATCGGCACACAGCGTCCTCCCCAGACGCGCTACAGCGGCACAGCTGCACCCATGTAGCGCTGTGATGTAGACTTGCCCTTAGAGAAGCCACTTAAATTTGACCTGGCCGCCCCGCCATCAGGCCAGCAGGGAAGGGGCTTTGCTGGTATGTCAGCCAGTGGCTAAAGAGGGAGCCTGGGCCCGGTGCTCCCCCGCCATTGCGTCCCCGCCGACTTCAGTGTGCTGTCTTCTTCCTCATAGGAACAAAGGGGGCGGGGGGTGGAAGAGCCATTGTCTCCTTTTTTTAAATGGGGGAGGGCCATGCCCCCACTTTTAAGAATCTTTCCTAGCAAAGGCTTCTCATGCTCTTAAAGGGACATGCACCTGAATATGGTGGCGGTCATAGAAAAAATAATGCCTCTTTGGTTGTATTCTCTTTCCCAAGTGATCCCTCCAACATGTCCCCCGCTGCACTGCCCTCTCCCAATGTGTACATCCCAGACAACGCACCAGGGGTGTTCAGGAAGGCGTGTTCTGCCACAGACATCCTGTGTGGCCTTGCACAAGACATATAGGGCCAAGTTGTTAGGTGCTTAAAGATGCAGCTAGGTGACTCTTGTGATCTTAAAAAGGGCCTAAGTGCTTAATTCCCATACACAGTTAGAGGCTTTTGACAGTCCCAACAGCTCTCTAGCTGCACCCTTAGGGGCCTATATACCTTTAAAAATCTGTCCCTCACTCTCCCTGGCCCAGAGCCTCAAAGGTATTTAGGCACCTAACACCCCTGAAATCAATGCTGTCTGAATACCTTTGAGGATTGGAGCTGTGCCTCAGTTGCCCATCTGTAAAATGGGGATAAAAGCACTTCCCTATCTCGCAGGGGTGCTGGGAGGATAAATACATTGCAGATTGTGAGGGACACAGCTACTGTGGTGCTGGGGGGGCCTCATAAACACTATGTTTGAATATGGTACCCCATTTACTAGTTAAGTCTTTTAGGACTCATCTGAGAACTTCTTGCTCCTTGGCATAGTAACAATTCAATGAGGGGTCTCTAACTGAAACCAATGGAGCATTGTAGCCTTTTCATAAATGTGAATGCTGGCTTTACCAGCACGGGTCCAGAGCTCAACGTGATCACCAAATATGGAAATTCGGGGCTAGATTTAAAACTAGGTCTGGTGACACTAAGCATCACAGTTTCTAACTTTTAGGCCCTTTGAAAATCACTGGGAATCACAAAGCCTGAGGTAGGCGCCTAGGCTCCCTACACAATGAATGGGGAGAGACGGGGTCAGAATGGCATTCACAAAAGCCAGCATGCTATGCGACTCCATGCCTAAGCTAGTCAGTGGGAGATGCCAAGCCAAGCACGTAGCTCTGAGAGGGAGAAGTCCTAGCTGCATGGAGGCACCTCTCTGAACTTGGGAGTCTCAGCTGCAAACCCTGTCTTGGAGTTAGGCACCGACGCTGTAGCTACAAGAAGCTGCAGGGGACGGTCCGGTGGT